AGCTCTACACCTTGTTATCTCAGATTCTCCAGCATCTGCAGTTCCTACTATCTCCAGTGGAAGAGCAGTTGGGCGGAATTAAGACGCACCTTGAACTGGTTTCTCATTGTATCAGTCAGGCCTTTTGCCTTTGGAGTATGAGTATTCAGCTGCTTGAAGCATGTAAGATCCTTGCCTGGATGGATGCGGTGAAGATGTTCCCTCTTGTGGGGAAACGTAAACTAGGGACTACTGTCTAAAAATCAGGGGTCGTTCATTTAAAACGGAAATGAGGTGAACATTTCATCTTTGAGGGTACTGAAGTCTATTCCTGAAAAGGTGATGGGAGTAGAGATTTTGAACATTTTTAAGGCACCATTAGATAGAGTCATAAGCGTTAGAGGAGCATGTGAATTTGAGGTTACAATTAAATCACCTATGATAGCATTTAAGGGGCTGAATAGCCAAATCCTGTGCCTTGGTGGTATGTTTGTGTTGTTCATTTTCATAAAATACACCAGTATGATGAATGGCATTGACACTGGGTTAGATATAGCAATAATCACATATGGATTGTGTTGGATTCTAGTCCAGTGGCATGACTATGATGCTCAGATCTGCCTAAGTGCTGTAAGATGATAGCATCACATTTGCAAGAGCCACAGAGAGAAGCAAAGATGTGACATTGCAGTGCAGTGAGAGACAATCTCCTGAAGCTGAGGCAAAATCATGTCAGCAACATGATGAGTATGTGATTATTGATACCTAACCCAGTGGGCATAGTGTTCATGTTATTCATCATATATTGGTATATTTTATGAAAATGAACAACACAAACATACCACTAAGGTGCAGGAGTTGGCCATTCAGCCCCTTGGCCTTCAATACTATCATGGTTGATTTAACTGTAACCTCAAACGTGATGCTATCATATTACAGCACTAAGGCAGATCTGAGCATCTCAATCAAGTCACTGGACTGGAATCCAGAGGACCACACCACATATTCCTGAAATACAAGTTCAAATCCCAAAAAAATGCAGCTGGGGAAGTTGAAAACCTCTGTTAATAAATAAATCTGGGATAAAACAATGACTTCTTTAATAATGGTCATGAAAGTACTTGATTTTCGTAAAAAAAAGTTTGATTCTCTAAAGTTCTTCAGGATAAGGTAGGAAATTCTTTACCTGGATTTGCCCTATATGTGACTATAGATCTACATCATTCTGGTTAACTCTTTACTGCCCTCTGAAATGGCTGAAACATTCAATTGTTTTGAATGACTACAGAATAAAGCACTGTGGGTGTCCCTACACCATGTGGCCTATGGGGTCCCAGAAGGTAGTTCACCATCACCTTTTCAAGGGGAATTAGGGATGGGTAATCAATGTTGACATCACTAGGGATGTTGACAACTCAAGAACAAATGGAGAAAAAAAGTCAAGAAACACAGATCTGAATCTTATTGGTTAAGCTGAATTCCAAATCAACTCAGATCCTCCATGTCCTGACTTCTTATAGGAATAGAAGGAAACCATCAAACTCTTCAAGTTTATTCTACCCTTCAATTTAGATCATAGTTGATCACATGCATTAACCAACCTTTGCTCCAAAACTCCTTAATACTCTCATGATATACCTAAAGGATGAAGTCAGTCATTGGAACAAGTGAAACATTGCAGAGTTTTAACTTGAACAGGTAGTTTTAAGTCAGGGAGAGTTAACAATTTATGGAATTTAAGTTGATATTGATGAGATACCAAACTGGAAAGGGTTGCAGGTTTTGTACCCATGAGAGTGCAGTGGTGAATAAGGGACAGCCATAGACAATCCTTCATGGACAATCCCACAATTCACAAGAGGACACCATGGTTGATTTGAAAAGTGATGATGTGGAATACTGACCACATTGTGGAGAAAGATGGAATCGGCAGTTTAGTGCACAATTAATAAAGGTCTTCTGTTAGGGCTTCAATAACTCTTTGTGCTGAAATTATGGTTTAAGTCCTGAGTCTCTCAATCTTCTAACAGGTTAAACATGTTCAAACTTAGAATCATAGAATCCCTACAGTGTGGAAACAGGCCCTTCAGCCCAACAAGTCCACACTGAACCTCAGAGCATCCCACCCAGACCAATCCCCCTATAACCCACCCAATCTACACCTCCCTGAACACTACGGGCACTTTAGCATGGCCAATCCACCTAACCTGCACATCTTTGGACTGTGGGAGGAAACTGCAGCACCCAGAGGAAACCCACGCAGACACAGGGAGAATGTGCAAACTCCACACAGACAGTCGCCCGAGGGTGGAATTGAACCTGGGTCCCTGGCGCTGTGAGACAGCAGTGCTAACCACTGAGCCACTGTGCCACCCCTTCTTCTGTTAAGCTCATACTTCCAATTCTTCTAATTTTGGCCTCTTATCCCCTCAATTAAAATCTGCAGCCATACCTCTTGCAGGTCTGGTTAAATTACTTTTCTGGTGCTTATTCTGTCCTTTGCAGCTGTGCCCAGTGGAGTCTATTCATATTTGTAGTTTTGGTAAGTGAGAATTCTCTTTTCACTCCCTTTCCTTCCCTGTCTCGTCTTTGTAATAGTTTCCCCCCCAAACCCCTTGGGGCCTTTGACTTTAGTTCTGGAGCCTTCAATTGCACAGCTTTCCTCTCTATGGCCTCTGCCCCTTCCCTGTGCCTATCAATCTTTCCCTAAGTCACGCTGTCCTTTCCCACACCACTCACGAGCTCGGAGGTAACAGCCTCTTTGCAAGACTGCTTTCAAGCTGCTTCTGCTCCTCCAACTACTGCAGACTGTCAAATTTCACATTTCAGCTGATGACTGCCTGTCTAGATGTCTTCTTAAAGCAGTAATGCTCTTAACGTGCTAAAGTCACTTGCTATCAAAAGTCTTTTCTTCAAGGCCAAACGGAATTCAAATCAGCACAGTTATTTTCAGATACCACCCCTGCCAGTACATTGTAATATCTGGCTACTCATGGGTTGTGGGTTAGTTTGCTACATCCTTTCTATGTTAAGTCTTGGGGCCGGTTGAATGATCAGGGATAGAGGACAGACCACTATAGAGTCTTAACAAGAAGAGGCCCTTGTCTTAGATAGCAAGGCTTTTTTTTGAATGCATTCACAGGATATGGGTGTTGCTGGCCAGGCCATTGTTCACTGCCCATCCCTAATTGGAAAAAGGGCATTTGAGAGCCAACCATATTGCTGTGGGTCTGGAGTCACATGTAGGTCAGACCAGAATTGAACAGCAGATTTCCTACCCCGAAGGACATTAGTGAGCCAGATAGGTTTTTCTAACAAATGACAGTGGTTTCATGGTCATCAGTAGATTCTTAACTCTGATACTTTTAATTGAATGCAAATTCCACCATCTGCTGTGGTGGGATTCGAATCCAGGTCCTCAGAACATCAGCATTAGTACAAGCCCATTGCCTCCTCTCAGGTGCAGTATATTTAATGGTAACAAAGGCTACAATTAACAAGACCTAGTTAGGCACAATGAGAAATATCAAAGACAAAGTATGTGACTTGTGACTCCATTGGGACCTCATACAGGACTAACTTATACCATCCAAGGACTGGAGTTTTATGACTTCAACATCAACCCTTTCAGAATCATGACCTCATTCAACAAGAACTGCTCAATGTTTCAAGGATTTTATATCCCTTGGCTGCGAGTCAATTTTCCTGATCCTACCTCGGTGTACAGGATAGCCAACATCCAGAACCGCTTCTTGGGTCTAGGCACTGACAGCATTGCCCAGAGGAAGACAAGGATGGGTAGGACCATGGTGAGCACTGAGGCTGAGACCATGTGGTTGAGGATCATTACAAAGTAGCACAACATGTCAGACTGGGACACCATGGTATTATACAAGGCAAACAGCAGCTTCAGGAGATGAGGCAAACTACGGTAGAATTTGTCCGACTCTTCCAGTTCAACATCATGGAACACCCTGAAACAAGATAGGAATCTAGTTTAACTACTAAAGATTGTCGTCTTACCAACTTGGTGATGAGTGAAATACTGACCATCAATTTTGCTGTAATAAAACTTTATTTGTACATTCATCGATATAATGACCTATATTATACTGTTATAACAGGCACCCAATAGTCTTCAAGTGTGGTAGTGTTGACCATTAGGGTGTAGAATATAGAAAGAAGGAAGATACAGCTTTAAAATAACTATACTATTTTTATTTTTATATTTTTATTACTAATCCCTCTTAACATTTATAATGCAAGCTGTTGTTGAAAAGTTGCTATGTTGTAAATGCATCCTCATGCCAATGGCTGCAATATTGAGAGAGTGTGGATTGTGTAAATGGAGCCTGCAGTTACTGAAGCTTGGCAATTAACTGTCAGTCATCTCTAATTGGTGCATTCTTCATGGCAACGCCTCTACCAATTACAATCCACTTTTCAGAACTCTCGTCTTATACGACGGTAAACTTTTTCCTTTCACGCTGGTATTCTTGCAAATGTCCTCAGGAGTGCAAAACTAAGATCTTCAACAAAAATTGCAGCAATACCCCATTTCTGACCTACCAACTGCCTATTTCACAGGAAATTAAAGACTTAATGACACAAAGAGTTCAACAATCAGTCCAATTCATAATTTCACTTGAAGAAAGGCAAATCTGCCAAGGAAGATTATAAAACCCCTTTTAAATCCACAGAAAGTACCAAAGCACCTTGCTGACAATGAATTAGTGCAGAGTAACTGCCACTCAAGTTACATTGGAAAAATACTAAAATGTCAGCAAATGGCATCCTAGAACTGTCCACTTTACCATGTCACTCATCTGCCCCTTCCTCTTTCTCTTCTATATCCTCCCAACCCTGTTCCCTTCATTTTACCAATTCCTACAAGCATCTTCCGGCTTTTCATTTACCTCCTCTTCCCAATCCTCCAACATTACATTCCTCCCCTTTCCCATCCTCTGCACTCTTTCTTTTCCCCTTTTTTCTACCATTTCTTTTTCTCAACCCGCCTATAACCCATCTCTCCCGTCCCTATAACCTTTCATTCACAGGGGCCCATTGTCCCTATGTCCTGTAACTCCACGTTTGCCGACAGTCCCCATGGGAAATGCTAAGTAAGTTTATAATTTGTAATCGATAATGACAGAAAGAGGGCTTCTCACTTGTTCAGAAGTAGATCACTTGCTGTTAGGAGATGAGTCTCACAGCTAAGAGGAGGTTGATAGTCCATCTTTGACACCTCCTTATCTGATTCCACAGACACGTTCTCCTCAGAGAGGTCAAGATATTCATAGCTGTTTGCTACTGCATTGTAGGATGGTGGGTGGTAAAATTGTGGAGTTATAATGTCTTTAGCGACCTCTTCATCTGCCTCTTCCTCAATGGTTTCTGTTGTTCCCTGCCAGGTACTTGATCTGGCACACTGGACCAATGTACTAGAATAAAAAAAAAAAGATTTTTACGAAAGTCAGGGAAAATCAACAAACAAACCTTGCAAGGTTAAATGAACCCAAAGAGGCAAGAAAGAGAATTAGCAGTCAATGAGACCCCTGATTTTAGCTGTGGCTCATTGGTAGCCCATCTGCCTCAGGGTCAGAAGGCGGTGGGTTCAGATCTCAGTCCAGACTGACTCACAATACTGGGAAGTATCAGCTTTAAGATCAGATGCTAAACCAAGTGCCACTAACCTGTTATCCTCAGTGAAAGTAGCAGATTCCACGGTATTATTCAAACAGTAGTGAGGGAACTTACTGGTCGGGTCTGCTTTTATCTCTAAAGTAACATCTAAAACAGATTATCCAGTCACATATTACCTTGCTGCCTGTGGAACTTGTGGTTCATAAATTGACAGCCACGTTTCCTACAGTGCAATGCTGACTACACATCAAAAGTCCTTCATTGGGGTAAAGAGCTTTAGAAGATCCTGCGTTAGTGAAAGGCATTATCAAAAAGCAAATATTTTCTCATTTCTTTGCGGACATGAACTAGAAAGTGAAGTGGAATGATGAGGATGAGAACACAAATTGGAGAGAAACAGCCAGTCTTTGAGAACTTAGAGATCTGCAAATATTTATTACTGTTGAGGATGCAAGGATAAATGAAACTAACGTGGTTGCAGGTTAAGACCGTCTCAAGGATACTCTAAGTACTTTAAATTGTATATTCATTTCATCTTCCTTTTGCACTGGACACTAAGCTTGTAACCGTAACTAACATTGTAGTTTGAGAGTATGCGTGCCTGAGAATTTCTCTGAGGGCTTGCCAGTAATAAAATTGCTCTTTCTTTCACTCAAGAAACTCTTGCAATTGGCCCCTCACAGATATGGTAGACATTGGGTAACTATACTTTTCTTTCAGAGAGGAATAGCCTTTTGTTAAAAAGAACATACAATTTTTGTTGTGGCCGACTGAGGAATTCAGAAAGAGGGGAGCAGACTCAGCACCTCCGCACCTAGTCTTAATATCATTCCTCCTAAGTCACGAATAGATCCTATTTCCCCTAGAGTCTGTGTTTCTCAATGGAACATATTATCATTGAGAACTCTGAATTGTTTCTTTGCTAAATATATTTTCTTCCCAAGAAATCTCACATCTTTGAGCAATTATATTTTAATACCTTATACTGTTTTAAAATGTAGAGAGAGAATGAGCACTTTGCCTCTTGTATGTAATACATCCTCTAGAATGGTCATCAGTGTTTGCATTACGGCTACTTTGGAATGGTACCAATAAACTGCAATCTATAACAACTTTCCACCCAGCTTTACAAAGTAAAAATAAAACAAAGAACTGCGGATGTTGGAAATCTAAAACAAAAACAGAAATTGCTGGAGAAACTCAGCAGGTCTGGCAGCATCGGTGGGGAGAAAGTGGAGTTAATGTTTCGAATTTAGGGACCCTACTTCAGAACTGATAGCAGCTAGGAAAAGATGGTACTTATACTGATGATGGGGTAATGAGTAGAGGATGGGTAGAAATAGAACCTAGAGAGAGGGAGAATGACAGTTAAGCAGACAAAGGCATGGATGGTCGGGGGCAAAGGAAGATAGAAGAGCTAATAATGCAGACGAGTATGCGAAAATGGGTTGGCTGTGCTGAAAGCAGCCCACATCACATGGGGTGTGGTGAGGCAAGTAAAGGATATAGAAAGAAGTGTTCAGGTTCTAAAATTATTGAACTGGATATTGAGTCCTGCCGGCCGCAGGGTCCCCAAGTGGAAAATGAAGTGCTGTTCTTCCAGTTTTGCTGGAGCACTGCAACAAGCCTGAGACAGAGATGTTGGGCAGGGAACACAGCAGTTTGTTGATGTGGCAGGCAACAGGAAGCTCAGGGTCAATTTATGGACAGAATGTAGGTGTCCTGCGAAGCAACTGCCCAGTCTGCATTTCATCTCCCACTGTAGAGGAGACTACATTGTGAGCAGTGAATGCAGGAGACTAGATTGAGTGAAGTGCAGGTAAATTGTTGCTTCACCTGGAAGGTTTGTCTGGGACTTTGGATAGTTGGTTGGGGGGGTGGAATAAAAAGGCAAGTGTTGCATCTTCTGTTGTTGCAGGGAAGGTGTAGTGAGGGTGTGGGGAGATGCTGGGGGTGAAGGAGGAGTGGACCAGGGTGTTCGGGATTGAACGGTTCCTGCAGAAGGCCGTCAAGGGAGGGGCGGGGTATGTGTGCCTGGTGGTGGCATCTCACTGGAGGAAGTGGAAATGGCAGCTAATGATCCTCTGGCTGTGGATGCTGGTGGGATGGTGGTTGAGGACAAGGGGAACCCTATTGCTGTTGTGGGAGGCGAGAGAGTGCAGGACATGGGTCAGACACAGCTGAAGGCCCTGCCAACAACGGTCTGAGGAATCCTTGGTTGAGGAAAAAGGCGAACAGGAGGCCTCCCTGCAGAAAATGGCATCATCAGAATAGACATGACCAAGAAAGTGGGAGAATGGAATGGAGTTCTTACAGAAAATAGGATGTATAGTCGAAAGACTCTGTGGGAATCAGTGGGTTTATACTGGATATTGGTGGCCAGCCAATCCTCACAAACTGAAACAGAAATGTTGAGGAAGGGAAGGGAGGAGTCAGAGATGGACCAGGTGAAGGTGAAAGTGGGGTGGAAATTGGAAGCAAAACAGATAAACTTTTTCAATTCCAGATGAGATAGGGAAGGAGCACCGATGATGCCATCGATATACCAGAGAAGGTTTGCGGGCGGGGACCAGAGTAGGACAGGAACAAGGAATGTTCCACATACCCCACAAAGAAAGAGGCATAACTGCGGGTACCAAGGGCCACATCTTTGACCTGAAGAAAGTGAGAGGAGATAAAGGAGAAGTTGTTCAGGGTGAGGATGAGTTCAGCCAGGCTGAGACTAGAGGTGGAAGGAGACGGTTCAGGCCTTTTTTACCATGAAGAAGCAGAGAGCCCCGAGACTATCCTTATGGGAGACAGATGTGTAAAGGGATTGCATGTCCATGGTAAAGAGGAAGTGGATGGAGCCCACAAACTGGAAATTCTGAAACTGGCTTAAAGCATCTGAAGAATGTAAGTAGGAAAGGACTGGACAAGGGAAGAGAAAATTGAGTTCAGATATGAAGAAATAAGTTCTGTGGAGCAGAAACAGGCTGAAACAATGGGTCTGGCTGGGCGGTCCTGTTTGTGGATTTTGGTAAGGATTCGGAAGCAGGCTGTATAGAGTTGTGGGATGATGAGGTGAGAAGCTGTGTGGAGGGGAAAAGATAAGACAAGATGAGGTTGTTGATGGTTGTGGAGACAATAGCTTGATGTTTGATGGTTGGCTCATGGTCAAGGGAGATTGGAGGAGGTATCTGAGAGCTGGCTCTCAGACTCCACAACGTAGGGGTCAGTCTGCCAGACAACAACAGCACCACCCTTGTCAGCAGGTTTAATTACAAAGTCAGGGTGGGATCTGAGGGCATAGAGTGTGGTCAGTTCCTGGGAGGATAGATTGGAATGGGTCGGTGTGGTGAGATGGGGAGGGGGATAGCAGTTAGAGAAATCAAGGTGACCAATGTCACATCTCGAGTTCTCAGTGAACAGGTTGACTGCAGGTAAGAGGCCAGAGGGAGGGGTCCAGGTGGAGGGAGAGCGTTCGGGCTGGGCAAAGGAGTCTGTGGAATGGGAGAGGACTCTTATGGACATGGAGGCAAAGGTGACGGAAGAAGAGTTGAACGTCATGTTGTACCCGAAATTCATTGAGGTGGGGGCGCAGAGGGATAAAACTGAGACCTTTACTGAGTACAGAACATTCAGCATTGGACAGTGGAAGGTGAGCAGGGATAGTAAATACTTTCCAGGAGAGGAAATGGAGTCAGGGCAGGGAGGGGAGGAAAGTTTCAGAAGGGTGTGGGTATCTCTGAGCTGTTGCAGCTTGCGTTCCTTAACGCCTGGAAGAAAGAGAAAAAGTTTCTTGTCAGAATGTTGAACAAGCTGAAGAATGAAATGGAACTGGGGGCAGGACAGGTCTGAGATAGTGTGAAATGGTGCTGATGGGCAGATAGTCATATGGTGCATTTGGTGGCACGTGGGTCTCAGGATACAGATTTATAATGGACTGTTAAAAAGGATCCAGGGAATAAAACTAGATGCACCAGTAGCTGGTCAGGCACTATCGACAACTCGAACCCTTCTGAGCTAAGAGAGGTGAGTCAGTTTTGACAGGAGAACTGTGTGTTATACCTTGGAGGCTCATAGTCCAGTGAGGAGGGGATGTCAATGTTGAGCATCTTCTGCAGTCTCCACCGAATGCGATTACTGGGCTTTGGGACCACGGAGACTGGCTCCTCAACATCATCAGCACAGTCACTGGCTGTCGGCTTCAAGGACACTACAGTGACTTCGGTGTTGCAACTGAGGAAGCACAAAGTGAACAATTAAGATAGCAGCCACATCCTCCTGTAGGTAATGAATTACACAGCACAGTGGTGTTGGGGGCACACTAGGTGCTTGGCAAAGCTGAGGCTGCAGGGTGCCAGAGTGGCATTAACCATCTACACTCTCTGATAGCAATTAAGGGAGCTTATGCCTTATCCATTTGCACCTTTCAGATATACAGGAACAAAGCAACAGGAAGAGGCCTTTAAGCCAAATCCACATCCAACGAGTCAATCAGCAACCTAATTCCATGTCAAAAATCAGTCAGTCAGTCTAACCTACAGTTTAGGACCCACTGCTCTAAAGATCATCCTTCTTTTAGCTTTTTTGATTCCTTTCAGTGCCTGGTCAGGACATATTCATGGTCAGTGTACATGGACACCAAAGTCTTTTTGGGCCTCCACTATGTCTAGCTTTTTGCTATTTTACAATGCTCCGTTTTATCCTTCTGTTGTATACTTGTGTTGTGTTTCTTAACACAGTATTTTCACTCTCAAAGAACTGATAAGCAGCATTGGTTCAATTGACTTGAAAATCTCAAACAGGTTCATTTCCCAAACAAACTGATAAATTGCAGATACAGAGCAACTGGTGTAGACATTCTTTGTCTGGCATGTGGCTGTCTGGGGACCTTGTGGTTCCTGGTCATGTGGGGTCATTGGCTCATTAGAACATGCAGCTCTTAAAGCTGTGACACAACATGCTCTTTATTGCCCTAAATAAAATGACATGCACTAGGAGTGAAAATACATATAGATTGTTGTAAAACCATTTACATAGGAATATCAATTGTAAACATTATGAGGTTAAGAGTCCACGAATCTGAAGAATGTATGGGTGACTTGACATTCCTTTTGGCTTGAGTGATGGTCTAACCTTCTGCAGATCTAAAGCTCAAGCTTGGCTGTTGTTGACTTGTATGGATGCTGGTCTCATGCATGTTGTCCTGATGGTCTCCCATGTTTTCAGTATCTGAGGGTATCTTTAGGAAAGTTCTGTGCAATGTTGGGAATCCTGTAAAGTTCCTAATTTGGGTTCTGCTCCTCCTCAATGTGTTCCACTCGATATTCCGACTTTGTATGATGGAAGCTCATTGTACACACTGGGCAGCTCTGTGGTTAACCAGGTTCCTTGGGTAGAATGTGTGACTCTGATCTTTTGTCCTACGCACTGATTTGACAGTCCCATGCCTGTATCATCTTTGTTCTCCTGGTTTTACGAGAGGTTTGCCCTGTATCTCTGAGACTTTGAACAGATTATAGCTTGGCAGTGTTGTCCTAACATAGCCTCTAAATATAATGGTGATGGTAAGCCCATATCTGGGGTAAAGTTTGTAGCTGTAGCATAGCAATGTGGAGATTGTGTTTAATCGCCCTCTACTCTGTCATTAATGCTGTCATGATGCAACACATTCATTTGGTGAGACTGTTAGATTTGGCACAATGTGGTCAGGTTGTTAATGGTGTCATGCCCTAGTTGGCACACATCCCCCTTCCTGTATGTTGTGGCCCATTGTCAGACTCAACTTCAACAGATACATTCACTGTGTCTGCCATGGATACACTTAAAGCATTTTTTAATGGTTTGATAATTGGAAATTTGGAGAATTGTCATTGACTAGAAGAAAATCATCAGGTATGGTCAATAAATCTGTAGTGATGTTGAATCAAGACTGGTGGAACCTTGTGAGGGTGTAGCGGTTCCTTGTACACCTCACTCACTGTCTACTTGATTCTATTATTACTCCCTGGGCAATACACAGGCAGGCATCCTGTGCCAGGCATCCCTGCTCACTCTGTGCCTACATGTCCCTGATGTAGCTGTAACAATATGTCCTGGCAAAGAACTTTGGTTACAATCACATTTCCTTTAAAGATTACACATCTTCACTCACCAAGTTCATTGCTTTCTGGCCAAGAATATCCGACAGTGGCTCACACATCTTGTATCCTGTTAAGTTACCTCCTTTCACAACACCCCAAAATACTGCCATTTATGAATTATTAGCTGTTTGTTGTTGAAGCTGGTTGCACTTATGATAACTAAAATTAATCAAATTGAGCAAAGCATTTCAAGGTCCACACTGTCTATTTGTAAATCTAGTAGACTTTTTGATTACAATATAAATATAGATGGGTTTTGGTTTCAGTTCTGCGAAGGGAACATTTTTTTTTCCTAAGAGGTCAACATGTCTTTTGGAAAATTAACCTGAATATATTATGTCAATTATAGCATGTGACTTTCTAAGTACCTAGCCAGATACCTGTGATGTTAACTGATGAAGAGTTTCCACTGCTGAATTTGTGACATATATGTTTGTGGGATCTCCAGGTTGAGAGAGTTTGGAGATGCTTCCTGGATATCAGAACTAGAAAGAAGTCTTAAAACTGTTTCAGTAACCCAAGGAGGAGAAGTGGAAACAGTCAGTTAAGAAATTAACAGTTCCAATTGGAGTAATAGTTCTCTGGAGTTCATAGAATCATACATTACAGAAGAGACCCTTCAGCCCATCAAATCTGTTTTGCCAAAAATATTCTACTATCCATATTAGGTGGGAACACGACATTTCAAGTGCTCGTCCAAGTTCTTTTTGAAGGTCGTGAGGGCTCCTGCCTCAACTACTTCCCAGGCAGTGCTTTCCAGACCTTCACCACCCTATGGGTGCAAAATATCTTTCCTCAAATCCTCTCTAAACTTCCTGTTTTTCGCTTCAAAATTATTCCCCTCGTGTTTGACCCTTCAAGTAAGGGGAACAACTGCTTTGCATCCACCTGTCTATGCCCCTCATAATCTTACATACCTCTATCAGGTCCCCTCAACCTCTCTGCTCTAAAGAAAACAACCCGAACTTATCTAGCCTTGCATCATCGCTGGAATGCGCCACCCCAGGCAACATCCTGGTGAATCTCCTCTGCACCCCTTCCTGTACAATCGCATCCTTCCTATAAATGTGGTGACCAGAATTGTACATAGTACTCTAGCTGTGGCCTAACCAAAGTCCTGTATGGTTGCAAACTCTTTGATCTTATAATCTATGCCTCAACGGATGAAGGAAAAAAAAAGTCCAATATGCCTTTTTAACCACCCTAATAACCTGCCTAGCTACCTTCAGGGATCTGCGGACAAACAACCCACGATCCCACTGTTTTTCTAAGCTTCCTAATGTATTCTATTCATTGAGTATTCCCTTGCCTTGTTATATCTTCCAAAGTGTATCACCTCACACTTATCAGGTTAAATTCCATCTGCCCAATCTGTTTATATCCTCCTGTAACCTAAAGCCTTTTTTATCGCTGTTAACCTCCAGCTCAATCTTTGTGACAATCACAAATTTACTTATCATCCCTCACACATTCATCTACATAATTTGTAAATATCACAAACAATGAGGGACCCAGCACTGTACACCAGTGCACACAGGGCTCCAGTCACACATACAGCATTCTACCACCATCCTCTGTCTCCAGTCACTAAGCCAGTTTTGGATCTCCTGGATACCCTGGATCCCACGAGCTTTTACTTTCTTTATCAATTTCCCACGTGGGACCTTGTCAAAAGCCTTCCTGAAACCCATTATTCATCATTTGGTCACTTCCTTGAAAAATTCAATCAAATTCATTAGTCATGACCTCCCTCTGACAAAGTCTTGCTGACTATCCCTGTTCAAAACTTGCCTCTCTAAATGGAGAGTCATTTTCTCTTCCACTATTTTCTCCAATCGTTTCGCTACCACTGGTCTGTAATTCCCGGGTTTATCTTTCCCACGCTTCTTGAAAAGTGGAACCATATTAGCAGTCCTCCAGTCTTCTGGCACTTCGCCTGTGGCCAGAGAGAAATTAAAAATCTGGGTTTAGAGCCCCTGTGATTTCCTCCCACCTCTTCCACAGCAGCATGGGGATGTGTCCACTTTTAAACCCAACAGGAGATAGCTGGGAAAGGGTTTGATTGATTTATTTTTCTGTTTATGTTAAGATATTTTCAAAACTGACTTACCTATCCATATACAAGTAGTATTTTTTATCCTTTTGTGTAATAAAATTGTATTCTTGTGTTAGAAGAACATTGTCAGCCTCGTGTGAATATATTCAGTGACTAACCATCACAGTGAACAACTATAAGAATCAAACTTATGATCTATCAAGCCGCTTTCATTCTGGGATCTGCCTTGTTCAGTATGACCTGTCAGCTGGAATCAGAACAGTTGCTAATGTAGTTTCATCTTACTCGAAAACCACAGACAAACTTGTTATTTGCAATTACAAAGCAACATACGCACACATCCTCCAGCTAGCATACTGCACTGTCCCCGACTGCTGCTAATGTGGTATTTTTCTGGCCCTTGGCACATTCACATACTCAGCTCTTAAAGTAGTAACGTAACACCATTTTTCACTCTACTGTCAGTAGCCTTTCGTATGCCTACAGTTTTGTCCATTCACTAAATCTATCAATATCACTTAATAACATTATACTTCCATCTATACTTCTAAAAAAATAAACACCTATGGCATGTTCCATCATTGAAGTCATTAGTAAAAGCAGTGAGAACCCAAAACAGATGCTTGAGGGATACCACTAGTCACATCTTATCAATTAGAGTCCCTGCCAATTTTTCCTCCTCTCCTGTGTACTATTACTGTGCCAATTTCCTAACCAGATCAGTAAGTTGTCTTTAGTTCCATGAGCTTCACTGTTAGTTCACAGTCTAATATGGGAAAATTCATTGAATTACTTTTGCACGCCATGTAAATGATATCCAAAGACGTTACCCTGCCCACTTCTTTATTCACCTCTGTAAAATATTAAGTAAGGTTCATCAGGCACAACCTGCCCTTTACAAAGTGATGTTGGCTCTCTCTAAATCAGCTGAAGATGTTAGCAGTTCAGTCTCTCTCTGTCCTTAAATGAGAGATGCTCAGAAGTTGGCATCAGCAGATGTTGGTGCTTTAGTTTTTGTCTATCATCTTCCGTGGACAGTGGATTGACATGAGCAGTTATCCAATCTAAATCTCCCAAGTTGAGAGAATTCTGGAAGAACTAATACAAACAGGTTTAAAAAAATCCAGTTATAAAGTCATAGAGTCATACAGCATGGAAACAGACCCTTTGATCCAACTAGTCTAAGCCAAACATGTTCCCAAACTAAACTAGTCTCACTGTTTGGCCCATATTCCTCTAAACCTTTCCTATTCATGAACTTATCCAGATATCTTTTAAACAGTGTAACTGTATCCACCTCCACCACTTTCTCTGGCAGTTCATTCCACACATGAACCACTCTCGGTGTTAAAAAAGTTGCCTCTCATGACCTTTTTAAATCTTTCTCCTCTCATCTTAAAAATATACCCCATAATCTTGAAACATAATCTTAGATACCTGAAAAACTGGGTCAGAAGATGCTTATTACACGAACGACACCAGCAAGGGGCAGCACGGTGGCTCAGTGGTTAGCCCTGCTGCCTCACAGCGCCAGGGACCTGGGTTCGATTCCACCCTCGGGCATCTGTCTGTGTGGAGTTTGCACATTCTCCCCGTGTCTGAATGGGTTTCCTCCCACAGTCCAAAGATGTGCAGGCTAAGTGGATTGGTCATGGTAAATTGCCCATAGTGTTCAGGGATTTGTAGATTAGGTGGGTTATAGGGGGATGGGTTTGGGTGGGTACTCTGAGGGTTGGTGTGGACTTGTTGGGCCGAAGGGCCTGTTTCCACACTGTAGGGATCCTATGATGATACTTCACGCCCCAACACACTCATCATGCTACCTTACATCAGGAACACATCTGAACTGACCACAAGACTCCTACGAACACTGTGCATCAGAATAGCACACAAACCTACAACAACTGCTCGCCTGAACTAAAGACCCACTACCCACTATGGGCAGGACCAATGTCATATACAAGATTCCCTGAAAATACTGTGACAAACGCTACCTTGGACAAACAGGAAGGAAATTAACAACAAGAGTACACAAACATCAATTGGTTACAAAAAGACATGACCAATACTCACTCATCTCTGTCCACATGGATAAGGAGAACCACCAAATTCGATTGGGACAACACCAAGATCCTGGGACAGGTGAAGCAGAGACAAGCATGGGAATTCCTAGAAGTCTGGTACTCCACTAAGAAAGTCATCAATAAACACAGAGCTGGAACCCATATACGCTCCATTGCAAAGGAAAACTGGAAGTGAGGTAATCCAGCTCAACGGACACCAGAGTTTAAGTAACAGGCGGGAAAACACAATAGCACTTCATCAGAGGCTGCACTGATGACGTTACCCAGCACGGTAACGAAACGCCTGTGGAACAACGAACCAGCTCGGCAAGCCAACCAACCACAACATTCACAACCTGAGCTACAAATCTACTCTAAAACCTTAGTGACCTTTCAGGCGAAGCACACTCAAATTGGCACGAAAATGGAAGAACTACGCCAAACGACAGAGCGCTATCCACGAACAACTCTACTTCCTACATGGATGCCTCAGGAGCCAGGTATTACCACACAGTGTGAGATACAAACCCCGCCATCAACAACCCACAAGCCCGAAAAACAGCAGAATACAACGGCTGCAGGATGGTTAAGGTAATGACCCATGATGCTACAACCGGCTTCATAGATATGATAGAGAAATTATACGCCAAAAAAACTTTATTCCTGGAAGCTACCAACCAAGACTGGACAACAGACCTGGAACGAGCCATCAACATCAGTAAACAGACCACAAGAGCCAGGAAAAGACAGACCCTTCAGGAAAATCTAGCCAAACTAACCCACCAAAACGATAATAACAGAGCAGACACCTGGATAAGAAACTTCTCAGACAGGAAACTGACAGACACAGAGAAAGCTGTTCTCATGTGCGGACTCAACTACAACTACAGAGATGCCAACAAAACAGAATTCCTTGCCACACTGGAAGCCACGCTGAGGACCAACAGCATCAATGAAGAAACACAACAAACCATAAGACAGACAGTGATTCCGACACTGACCAGAAAAATCGAACTCAACACATCGGAAAGGAAAGGCCTAAAAGGACTGAAAAAGGACAAGAACATCACAATACTACCTGCAGATAAATGGTGCATGACAGTAATACTAAATAAATGGGACTACCTCTCCCAGGCACATGCACTACTAGCCGACGAGAACACATACTGGAAAGTGCAGACAGACCCATCACCACAACTAGGCAACAAGATTCTCAACATGCTAAAGAGACTCAAACAGACCGGACAAATCAACAAAACAGACTTACCATGAGTGAAACCTGAAGGTACTAACACATCCCGATTCTACGGCTTCCCGAAGGTACACAAACAAGAAGTACCCCTCAGACCCATAGTCTCCCTGCCAAACACACCATCACGCAGATTGGCCAAGGAGCTACAAAGGAAACTAAAGCACCTCGTCAACAAGTCACCCCGCTCAATCCACCCAACCCAGGAGTTCCTCAATTTCATCAAGGACATAAGAATAGATGACGACGAGAGACCATGTATCGTTTGACGTTACTGCCCTATTCACATCAATAGACATACCACTAGCAACAGAAACACTGACGACACTACTAAAACCTAGTGACACCATCTCCACAGACAACATGCTGAAGCTACCGGACCTATGCCTCACCACCCACTTCACCTTTAACGGCCAAATATATGAACAGATCAACGGGACACCCATGGAATCACCTATCTCTCGACTAATAGCTGAAGCGGTGATGCAGAGACTTGAAAGTACAGTCCTTCCACTAATCCAACCAAAACTATGGATATGCTACGCGGATGACACCTTCGTCATTATTAAACGGACCAAACTAGAGGAGACAACGAACTAATAAACGACACCCTCACTGGGATCAGATTCACCAGAGAAGAGGAGAAGAACAAACAGCTCCCGTTCCTAGACATCATGGTGGAACGCAGGACCAGTGGGGAATTCCTAACAAAGGTAAACAGGAAAGCCACATACACTGACCAACTACTGAAGTTCAACAGTAACCACCCTAACACACACAACGAAGCTGCGTGCGAACGTTATTTAAACGGGCAACACCACACTGCAGTAGCACAGAGCTATGCTGAGAAGAAGAAGAATGTCTCTTCCAGGTATTCAAGGACAATGGATACCTGAAAAACTGGGTCAGAAGATGCCTATTACAGCAATGACACCAGGAAGATAGTACGTGCCCCGACACACTCGTCACACTACCCTACATCAGGAACACATCTGAACTGACCACAAGACTTCTACGATCACTGGGCATCAGAGTAGCACACAAACCCACATCAACCCTACGACAACTGCTCACCCGAACCAAAGACCACTATGGAGTACCCACTATGGACAGGACCGATGTTATATACAAGATTCCCTGAAAATACTGTGACAAATATTACATTGGACAGACAGGAAGGAAATTAACAACAAGAGTACACGAACATCAAGTGGTTACAAAAAGACATGACCAGTACTCACTCATCTCTATCCACATGGATAAGGAGAACCACCAATTTGATTGGGACAACACCAGGATCGTGTGACAAGCAAAGCAGAGACAAGCCTGGGAATTCCTAGAGGCCTGGTTCTCCACTAAGAAAGCCATCAATAAACACATAGACCTAGACCCCATATACACTCCATTATGAAGGAATACCGGAAGTGAGGGAATCCAGCTCAACAGACACCAGAATTCAAATAACAGGTGGGAAAACACAACAGCGCTTCATCGGAGGCAGCACTGATGATGTTACCCAGCAGGGTAATGAAACGTCTGCGGAACAATGAACCAGCTCGGCGAGCTAACCAAGCACAACAGTCAAGTTACTCTCGTTACTCCTGTTCTCTAAAACTACATCAATCAGACAGAATCACCAGCACTTTCTCCAGGCAAAGTAGAGATGAGCAATAAACCCTGGCCCAGACAGTGACGCCTAAATCCTGTGAAAGAATAAATATCCCTTTTGATCCCACTCCAATGGAACCTGAAGTACAGCTACGTTCAATCACCATTCCAAACTGAAGTCAGATCCCCCCATCATTGGGCAGCCTAGTCACTAGGAGTGCAATCACCACCACCCAGTCACCATAGGACAGTCACCTCTGCCTGGTCACCACAGCCTACTTCAATGTCGCACCATCAGTTTGTTTAGTAAATACTACAAATATATTTAATATCATGACTAGGGCAGATCAGCATTTCCACCGCAATATGGTGTCACCCAGAATCCAACACTGGCCCTTGTGTACATTGATCAGGTGAAGGACCTTTACCTGGACACACTGCTGTCTCTGGACAACATCGAATCAAGGCTGGCCATTTTATGGTAGTTCAATGTTGACGCTGGTTCTCCTTCCGTTGGCTCATCTCTCTCCAAGACACCATCAGGATTACAGGGAGCTCGACATTTCAGTTTGGCATTGTAAAAATTGTGAATTGTCTCCTGGTTTGAAAGCTTTCCCTAGAAAGAGTAATGGAGAGGCCTGGTTACACAGTGTAGTCAGAATAGTTTCTGTTTGATTAACAGTTCATTGGTTTAGATTTTACAGCAGCCTCCTCGCCTCATCACATTCTTCAACAGCTTTCTTATTAAAACCCATTTCTTTGATAAATTACCCTTCTGATTGTACCCTTGCCTGTAGACTGTGGTGCACAGACAATACAACAACTTCCATTCTCAAGATGTAGGCCTTACTGGTAAGGCCAGAGATCATTACACATCTTCATTGGTCCTGATTAATACAACTAAATGCTTTGCTAAGGCTAGCTCAGAGTCAGCCATGTTAGAATACAATGAGAATGGAAGAAGAAAGATTAAATAAAGGAATAAAGGAGTGAGCAATTTTCTGAAGAAGGGTCCAGACCCGAAACGTCAGCTTTCCTGCTTCTCTGATGCTGCTTGGCCTGCTGTGTTCACCCAGCTCTACACCTGGTTAATCAGATTCTCCAGCATCGTCAGTTCCTACTATCTTTGTATTTATATGCCACTTGTCATGTCCAAGGTCCAAAGGGGCTTGACAACAATGAGGTATTTTGAACTGGAATTATTGCGCTAATGCAGGACAAACCATGCTAAATAAATAAGTTGCCTTCTTTAAATGGCCTTGGGTTTTATAATGATATTTGAACAGCTTCATCACCATGAACACTGAAATCTTCTGTTTGGGTCCATGTTTTTAGGAACACAGGAAACATGATTAGGCCATTCAGCCCCTCAGGCCTGCTCCATCATTCAGTGTGATCATGGCTGATCTGTGGCCTAACTCCATATAACCTGCCTTGGGCCCATACCCCTTGATATCGTTGCTTAGTCTATCTCAGATTTAAATTTAATAATTGAATTAGCATCAACCACCATTTAGGGAAGAGAGTTCCAAACCTTCGCTATTCTGTGTCTAGAAGTACTTTCTAACATTTGTCCTGAAATGGACTGGCTCTCATTCTTAAATAATGCCCCCGGTTCTAGAATCTTCAGCCAGTGGCAATAGTTTGTCTTTATCCAGCCTGTCTTTTCCTGTTAACATCCTGAAAACCTTTATTAGATCACCCCTTCTAAATTTGAGATGTCTAATAAAGGTCTAATTTGTCTAACCTCTCCTCATAACTTTATGCCTGAAGTCCAGATACCATCCCTGTAAACCTGTAGTGAACTCCCTACAGGGCCAAAACATCCTTCCTTAGGTATAGTACCCTGATCTGTTCACGATACTCTCGGTGGGGACTAACTAGGGTTTTGTTTGATTGGAGGATAATGTCTGCATCCTTATATTGCAGCCTTTTAAATATGAAAGCCAGCATTCCAGTAGCCTCTATCATTATTTTCTGTGCCTGTTCGTGGCATTTTAAACAGCTATGCACCTGAACCCCCAAAATCTTGTTGGACATCCACTGTATTTAACTTTGTGCCTTCTAAAAAATACCCTGATCTGTCCTTTTTCAGTATGAAATGGATAACCTCACACTTGCTTATATTAAAAGCCATTTGCTACAATGCTGCCCATTCACCTTATCTATCGACATCCTGTTGTAATTTTATGCTATCATCAACACGGTCTACAATGCTGCCCAATTCTGTGTCTTCAGCAAATTCAGATATTTGACTTTTTATGTTATTATCAAAGTCGTTAATGTCGACTGTGAATAATTGGGGCTATTTTCCCTGGAGCATAGGAGGTTGAGGTGTGACCCTACAGAGATTTATAAAATCATGAGGGGCACAGATAAGGTGAATAGCAAAGATCTTTCCCACAGGTTATGGGAGTTCAAAGCTAGAGGGCATAGGTTTAAAGGTGAGAGGGGAAAGATTTAAAAGGGACTGAGGGGCAACTTTTTTAACAGAGGGTGGTTCCTATAAGGAATGAACTGCCAGAGGAAGTAGAAGATACAGGTAAAGTTACAACATTTAAAAGATTTTTGGACAGATACATGAATAGGAAAGGTTGAGAGGGATATGGGACAATTGCAGGCAAATGGGACTAATTTAGTTTGGGAAACCTGGTCAGCATGTTTCCATGCTTACAGAGATCCCTACGGGACACCACTAGTCACTTCCTGCCAAATTGAGTACTTGTCTGTTATTTCAACTCTGCTTTCTGCCAGTCAACCAATTTCCTATCCATGTCGGTAATATGCCCTCAATTCTGTGCGCTTCCACCTTAGCAAACAGTCTCTCATTCAAATTCAAATTCAAATTCAAATTCTCAAACTATCCTGACGAGATCTGAAATCTGTGCTTCTGGATTATTTATCCAGACCTCTAGGTTACTCGGATAGTGATGTAACCTTTTCAGTACAATACCAAAATAACTTGAAACTTACTGGGCAGGTTCTTGCTACAGTGTAGGAGCAAATAGATGAGAATACTGAATTCGATTTGAATGATGACTTTAACTGGAAAGTAATATTTTGTTTCAAATATGAAGTTTATGAAATTGCTATTTTGGACAGTAACTTTAATTGAGGGCAAGATATTGATCAAATATTTGGCCTCAATTGTTACGTTGGAAGATACTTTGAAAATACCATTAACAAGAAGGAATATAGGAAGGAATTAAGTGCCATCACCATCACTGGAGAAGTAGTACTAGACAAACTAATGGGGCAAAAGGCAGATAACTCCCTGGTCCTGATGGCTTGCATCCTAGGATCTGAAAAGAATTTAACAGCCGAGACAGTGGATGCATTGGTTATAATTTTCCAAAAATCCTTGGACTCTGGAGAAGTTCTAGAGGATTGGAAAGCTGCTGGTGTGACACCTCTATTCAAAAAGGGAGGGAGGCAACAAGTGGGTAACTATAGGCTGATTAGCCGGACATCCATAGTTCGAAAAATGTTGCAAAAAAAAGCATAATCTAATCAAACAAGGTAAGCATGGCTTCACGAAAGGGAAATCATGTCTCACTAATTTATTAGAGCTTTTTGAGAAAGTCTCAGAGTGGAAAGAGGGGAACCAGTAGATGCATTGTATTTGGACTTCCAGAAGGCATTCAACAAGTTAACTCTGAAAAGGTTAAGTTGGAAGATAAGAGCCCATAGTGTTGGAGGTAGAATATCAGTGTGAATAAAGATTTGGATAATGGGCAGGAAACAGCAAGTTAGGATAAGCAGTTCTGTTCAGGTTGGCAAACTGTAATCAGTGGGGTCCTACATCAGTGCCTGGCCCGCAACTGTTTACAATATATATTAATGACTTGGAGGAAGGAAGCGAATGTTCTGTAGCCAGATTTGCAGATGATACAGAAATTGGTGCATTGGCAAGTTGCAGAGGGATACAAACAGTTTACAGAAATATATTGATAGGTTAAATAAGTGGGCAAAGAGTTGGCAAATGGAGTGTAATTTGAGAAAACGTGAGGTTGTTTATTTTGGAAGGGAGAACAAAAGAACAGAATATTGTTTAAATGGAGAGAAACTGCAGAAAGCTGTGACACAATATGACTTGGGGATATTTGAGCATGAAACACAGAAAACTAACACACAGGTGGAACTGATAGATGGTTCTGTGGTAACAAACAAGGCTCTCGAATGGGGTGTTGCCTCTCTGGTGCCAGGGTCAGGGCATCACACAGTGGCTACAAGAGAGGGGGAACAGCCAGCAAATGTGTCAGTACCAATGACATGGGTAAAAAATGAAATGAAGTCCTGCAATAGAAATTCAGAGTTAAGTAGCGGATTAAAGAGAGCACTACTAAGGTTATAATCTCCAGATTACATTGTTGAAGGAAGGGCAGGACTGGCAGCTCAACATTCCAAGTTATCGAAGTTTTAAGCACGATGGGGAGATGTAGTGGAGGTGGGAGCGCTGCATTAATGTAGTGATTTTTTTAAAATTAATGATAAGGGAAGATGTCTTAGAAAGCTCTTCAAGTGAGACCATCTGGATAGGTCTTAGAAATAAAAAAAAAAGATTACTTTGTTGAGATTATAATGTAGGTCTCCCAACAGTCAAAGAATGATAGAGGAGCAGATATGTAAGCAAATCACAGAGAGGAATAGAGTTATAGTTGTAGGGATTTTTAACAAAGTTAAACATTAATTGGGATTGACTTAGTGTGAAAGGATTAGACATGGCGGAATTTTAATATGTATCCAGTAGAGTTTTTTTTGTGCCAGTACACAGATGGTGCTATTAGAGACAGGGCAGTTCTAGACCTAATCCTAGAGAATGATGAAGTGGTTGAAGAGTCAGTGGGAAAGCACTCTGGAAATAGTGACCATAATTCTGTAAGTTTCAAAGTCATTACGGAAAGGGATAACGATAGTACAGAAAGTGTCCAAACTGGAAGAAGGCTAATTTCAATATCATTAGACAGGATCTGGCAAACATTACTGGGAGCAGCTCAGTTAAGTCTACATTTGGAAAGTGAGAGACTTTTAAAAGTAGTGCAGTGAGACTTCAGGGCCAGCATGTTCCTCTAAGATTGAGGGCAAGGACACAAGTCCAGGGAACTCTGGATGTCAAGGGATATCGAGAGTTTGGTAAAGGAGAAGGAAGAATAAGTTAAGTACAGGGCATTAAAAACAGGGGATGTCCCTTGGGAGTACAGAGAGTCTGGGGGTGTGGGATGGTTAAAAGAGAAAGTAGGAGGGCAAAAGAGGGGCCACAAAATATCTTTGGCAGATAGGATTAAGGAAAACCTCAGGCTTTTTATAAGTATAGTAAGAGCAAGAAGATTACCAGGGAAAGAATGGACTTTATCAGAGACCAAAGGGACAATCTGTGCATGGAGCCAGATGATGTGGGTGAAGTCGTAAATGGAATATTTTTCATCTGTATTCACAAAGGAGAAAGACATAGTCTCAGAATAAAGGGGCACCAATTTAAGACCGAGATAAAGAGGAATTTCTTTTCTCCGAGTTGAGAGCCTTTGGAACGCCTTGCCACAGAGAGCTGTGGGGGAAGAGTCCTTGTATATATTTAAGGCTGAGATAGATTCTTGACTAGTCAGGGAATCAAGGGTTATGGAGAAAGAGCAGGAAAGTGGATATAAGGAATGTCAGTCAGCAGTGATCCTATTGAATGGCAGTGCAGGCTAGAGGGACCGAACAACCTACTGCTGTTCTTATTTGTTCATGGTCTTCTATTCCTCGGACTCTGTTTCCATCACCTCTTCAGATAGAGAGCTCCAAAGAGTCAAGAGAGAACACATTTCACCTCATCTCTGCTTTCAATGGGCGGCCCCTGGTTTTTAATAGTGAGCCCTCATTCTAGATTCTCCTGCAAAAGGAAACATCCTTTCCTCATCCAGCCAGTCAAGACCCCTGAGGGTCTTATACGTTTCAAAGAAGTTTTTTCTTATCCTTTCCAACTCCAAAGGTACTAGCCCAGTTTGCAACCTTTCCTCAGAAGGCAACCCTCCCGGCTCCAGGTATTAGTCTGGGAAACATCTCTCAACTGCCTCCAATGCATTTACATGGAACATTTGTCATCTTGGTATCTCTCTTGCGGGTGGCCTTGCAGTGGGAGGGCTTTCTGGAAATAGTCACCACAGTGGATACCCAGATGAGATCATTGAGACACATTCTAGGTTAAGAGCAGAGACAACCATTAGTCTGTTGAAAGACCTCAGCCCCTACTTGACCGACAGTTGTTTGACTTCCAACAATTTCATAAAGTTTGGTTATACAAGTTTAAGTGATCTGAACTGCCTTGTGGTTTCACATTTTGAAACTTTAAAAGGCAGATCGGTGGCTCAATGGTTAGCACTGCTACCTCACAGCGCCAGGGCCCTGGGTTCAATTCCACCCTCGGGTAACTGTCTGTGTGGAGTTTGCACATTCTCCCTGTGTCTGCGTGGGTTTCCTCTGGGTGCTCCAGTTTCCTCCCACAGTCCAAAGATGTGCAGGGTAGATGGGTTGGCCATAATAAATTGCCCATACTGTTCAGGGATGTGTAGATTAGGGGGATGGGTCTGGGTGGGATGCTGTGAGGGTCAGTGTGGACTTGTTGGGCTGAAGGGCCTGTTTCCACACTGTAGGGATTCTATGATTGAAACCTTTATTGGACTGCAGCAAGGACCTTTTTAAAAAACATCATAGCTTCAATATGGAAAGTTGTCAATAAATTAATTCCTTTTACACACATCCAATTGTCACTGTAGGGCTAATTGCTTCTGTAAGTATATTATATATGGGCATGGGCACGGGCACGGATGTGCAAACCTAGGCACGGGGCCATAATGACTACGGGAGTACTTGGGGGTCACAAAGTGGAATGGATGGGGTTTGGTAAATATGTAGCGGTTTCAGATGGGTGAGGGGCCTTTATTTTTGTTAAACAGCTGAGACAAAGTCCCAGAGAGCTGTGGCAGGCCTTTTAAGTAGCTCATCTCCATAGCTGGCTGCCTCTGTGGCTATGTCCAAAGGTTTTCCAGGGTCAGATGGCCCACCTGTAGCCAGCACCTGCGCCCCTAGGACCTGGAGTTGGTATTTCTTGAGGCCACTGTCCAAAGATGGGCATTTTCTTGACTCCCACCATCGGCCTCAAGGAGCAAAAGCCATCTTTGGTATTTGTTCCTCTCGACGTGTGACCAAAATGCAGATTTCGAAGACATTTACAGAATATTTTTAAGGCAGAGGTAGATAGAGTCTTGATGACTAAGGGAATGAAAGATTATTGGGGTGGGGGGTGTGGTTTGCAGGAATGTAGCGTTGAGATTAAAATCAGATCAACCATGAGCTTATTGAATGGAGTTGTAGTGTTATGAAGGGCAGAATGGCCTACAGTTCAGAGTCATAGAGTCACACAGCATAGAAACAGACCCTTCGGTCTCATCATTTTTTTATTTCATTTCAAAGAATCCCTTCAGTGTGGAAACAGGCTCTTCGGCCCAACAGGTCACACCGACCCTCAGAGCATCCCACCCAGACCCAGCATCCTATAACCCACCTAAATCTACGCATCCCTGAATACTACGAGCAATTTAGCAAGGCCAGTCCACCTAGCCTGCACATAAAGGGACTGTGGGAGGAAACCCACGCTGACACGGGGAGAATGTGCAAACTCCACACAGACAGTCCCCCGTGGGTGGAATTGAACCCGGGTCCCTGGCGCTGTGAGGCAGTAGTGCTAACCACTGTGTGGACCATAATCTCCAACTAAACTAGTCCCACCTGCCTGCACTCGGCCCATATCCCTCCAAACATTTCTTATTCATGTAGTTATCCAAGTGTCTTTTAAACGTTGTAACTGTACCCACATCCACCACTTTCTCTGGAAGTTCATTTCACGCATGAATGACTCTCCATGTGAAAAAAAATGCCCCCATTTCTTTTTTAAATCTTTTTCCTCTCACCTTAAAAAGTATGCCCCTTAGTCTTGAAATCCCCCAGCCTAGAGAAAAGACACCTGCCATTCACCTTATCCATACCCCTCATGATTTAATAAACCTCTATAAGTTCCTTGTTCATAACAAGACACCGTCTTGTCCTGATGACAGTGTGATGAAACTAACACAGTGAAGGAGTCTATATTTAAGATGAGTCACTGGCATTAGGAGGTGTTAAAGAGGAACGAAACTTGTCACCTGTTTTAATTCTCTTCTCAAAATGGACCTCTCAAACCTCAGCACGGTGGAGATATCAATGTAATCCTTGGAGACGGAGTTCAGAAGCTCAATCAGTCCTTCAAGCAATGCTTGGACAAACATCCAAGTGAAGGTCAGAATGTTCACTCCTCGCTTGATGAAATTATCTACACATGAAAGAAAAGGCACATTAAGCTGTGAGAAACAAGAACAGCTCCTTATCAGAGCAAAAGCGTTTCTGGCTATTTAGAAATTGACAGCGATAGCCCAGAGTCATAACCCGGATTTGAATTTCAAGATTTGCAGCTGTCACAAAGCTCAAAGTGTGAATAGTAAGGAGGATTGTAACACACTTCAGGAGCATGAATAGATCAGTAAACTCGGACATGGCAGATGCAGTTGAATACAGAATATGAAGTAATGCCTTTTTGCAATGAAAATGGAGAGTACAAAGTAAATGAATACAATTTTAAAGTTCTGATGAAAAGAGACCTGCAGGGAGCTTCATTCACATCTATAATTTTCACAGGGCAAGTGGATAAGGCTGTTAAAAAGTCTATGGGTCCCATGGCTTCAGAATGAAAAACAGAGAGCATAAACCAAGAGGTTATGTAAAACCTTTATATAATATTGGTTAGCTCTAAACTGGAACATACTATCGAACTCTAGAAGCTATGCTTTAGGAAGGAGACTTGCTAGAGTGATACAATGGATGGAGGCTATTCATTAGGTGAAGGTTGGGTTTGCTCACCACAGGAAGCGCAATGCTTTAACAATTAAAAAGCTTGATCTACTACTTTGAGGCTCAGGAACCAATTGGTTTTACGTGACTGTGAGCTGTACTGAGATTGTTTTTTCACTGAAGAAGTTATATTGCAGAGTGACAGAATCCCTTTCAATCCATCCACGTGACCATATTTCAACTTGCCTTCCCTTTCCCAAGCTACAGAGTGGCACCACATCATAGAAAACATAAATCCGAGATGCTGCATTACAACAGCAATGAATTTAACAATTCCTACAAAACTTTAAGAAACGTTGAAATGGTCAATTGATAACCGCATCGAAAGACTGGGCATAATAAACAGGGAATGAGGATACATTGGCACTTGATAAACTGAGCCTCCAGAGGGCCAGTACAGACACAGTGGACCAAATAGCGTCGTTCTGTAAAAACCTGCAGTTTCTCTTAAGTATTGAGACATAAGAAGACGAGAGATGCTTCTCATTTTGTTTCAGAATGGCAAAGGTCCTTTGACACCAACAATTTTATGGAGTTTATACACCTTCGTTCTATTTGTGAATCAGTAAACTATCATTCAATCTTCAAATATATCCTGGGATGTCTGTCATTTCACACAGTCAAAGACTGTACAAAATAGGAGACAGCAATCCAGAGCTGGTAACACACCAGCACTATCATCTCATACTCATTTCAGGCATTCAATGGAAAGTGGAAAATGGATATTTGACTGCTGCCTGCTCCTTGTAGTTCCACTGGACAGGCACAAGGAATGTGTGTCTGACCATTGTAGCCCCAAGTCCCATTAAATAGGTGCTGGGAGTGTGTGTCTGCCCGTTGTAGTCCCATTGAAGAGGCGGTATTTCCAACTCGCTATGTATCGCTGTTAGTGTCACTAACCCGGATCCTGCACATTCGAAGCATCCAATTCATCTTCACTTGAGTCAGCTCTGTTTAAATCTGAAATTCAGAAATACAATGACAGCCTCTGACATGTTTATATCATTCCATTGGCTCTCTTATTTTAAAGATGCAAGTAAAGTTTTTTTTGAAAATAAAGCCTCTATTTACATTTAAGCAGCAATCTCTGCTCAAAGCCAGTCCCTTTTTGCAATTCTGGGACTGATCTGCCTACATAGCTGCATTGCAGCAGTGCCTCCTCCTTCACGTTTGAGGTTGGCCTCCTAATTAAATTGTGTCACTCGTCTTCAGTTCATCATGGCACTGAGCTCCAATTTTCAGAAACAGCCTTAACTGTGGTCATGACCTGCTGCTGACATGCTCATCTCAGCTGGGGGAGTCAGATCAGTGTGGGTGACGGTTCCCAGGGTTAGGATACGTAGTTAATCGGCCAGGAATCCTGCTCCCTATCTTTATTCTGCAAGACTGCTGGAGAATGTATGAAATTAATGTTCAATTGGGAAAAGGATTAGGCTTGACGGTGAAGCATTCTGTGATAAAATAGTTTACAAATATTCACCATCCAGACTTGTGCATGATGATTACCCAATTATGAAAGCTAAGATAACTCCAGGATAGAACAAGAGAGAGAGAGGAAAGAAATAAAAGAATTAAATAAAACTAATAACATGTGCTGAGAACTCAGCAGGTCTGGCATCATCTGTGGAGAGAGAAACAAAGTTAACGTTTGAGTTCAGTTCAGAATGGAAGAGAGGTGGAAGAATGATGGTTTAAGCTGATGAAAAAAAGGAATGGGCCAGAAGAACAAGAGGGAATGTCAGGAAAAGGTTAGATGGCATGGGAAATTAAAGGTTGAAGGTCGAACAAGGGGCACAAGGAGCGGTAATAGTTTGCGGGAAGTGACAAAACATTGGCCCAGAGCAGGTGTTAATAGCAAAGGTCAGCTGTGAAGGGGCTGGGGGAAGGTTAGAGGTGCATGTTAAAATGGAGGATGAAGTTCTCCAGTCAGGAATTGTAGAAGTCAGTGCTGAGGCCTGAAGGCTGTAAAGTGCATAATCAGAAAATGTGGTGCATTTTCTCCAGTTTGCACTGGGCTTCACTGGACATTGCAGCAGGTCCCTGGACAGTACAGTGAATATGACAGCAGGATGGTGCATTGAAATGATAAAAGACCCTGAAGGCTGGGGTCATGTTTGCAGTATGCACTGTGGCGTGCAAAATGGTCACCTAGAGAGAAAAACAATGTTAGGTTGAACTGAAAGAATGAAGAGTTGTGTTATTCAGACTGGAATGGACATTTAAAGTCTGAACAACTTACTACTGAGCAAAGTATTGTGATTGACAGGGTAAAATACCAGGAGTACTGTAACTGAGGAAGCAGTACTCAAATGTACACACAGGACTCTTCACTAGGCCATGAAGCAACAACTCGAAGAGATTTTAATGTGATGTAGGGAGGTAGGAACTGGAACATACATTAGTACTGAAATGAGAAATCATAATTATATTGCGAATGAGGATGCAAGGACAGTGTTTACAAGACTGTCCTGAAGTCTGCTAATGTTATACTGTTACTGATGTTTATTTTATTGAAAAAGAACAGAAAGCTTTTCATTTATCTACATTTTTTCACAATCATTGGACATCTCAAATCCTTTTGAGACACTGAAATCCTTTTGCGGATTCTCCATTCTATTTCACTACTCTGAAACAGGAGACACGACAGTCAATACATGCTGAGCAAACTCCCTCAAACTACAATGTAATAATCATTGGATAATTTGTCATTTGTAACTTTGGTTGAAGGATGAATATCGGTCAGAACACCAGGAACATATCCCCTGCTGCTTTTCAAGATTGTGTTATGGGATTTTGTACATCCATCTGAGCAGGCATATATTTATTTGTTTATCCGATTTATTTATTTGATTTATTCTTGTCATATGTACCTAAGTACAGCAAAAAGTTTTTGTTTTGCGTGTAGTATAGGCAGATCATAGTAAACAAGGACATACAGATCGTAGGTTGATTGAACAGAGCGAGGAATACAAAGTTACAGCTGCACAGACACAAAAGCAAGATCAACATTAGATGTGAAATTTGCAAAATCCATTCAGCAATCTGATAACAGCGGGGGAAAAAGCTGTTCTTGAACCTGTTGGTGCATGTGTTTAAGCTTTTGTATCTCCTTCCTCATGGAAGAGGTTGGAAGAGATTATAACTGGGGTGGGAGGGGTCTTTGATGATGTTGGCAGCAAGAAGTGTAGATGAAGTCAGTGGATGGAAGGTTGGCTTGCGTGATGGTCTGAGCTGTGTTCACAACTCTTTGTAGTTTCTTACGGTCCTGGGCAGAGCAGTTGCTGTACAAAGCTGTGATGCATCCAGATAGAATGCTTTCTATGGTGCATCTATAAAAGCTGGTGAGGGTCCTTATGGACATGCCGAATTTCCTAAGCCTCCTGAGGAAGAACAGGCATTGTAGTGCCTTTGTTTAACATTTCATCCGAAAAGACAGCATGTCTGACAATCTGAGAGCTCTCTCAGTCCTAGTTTCTTCAGTGCTCAATCTCAGATTCAATCTACTGATTCAGTGGCAAGTGAACCAGAAACTGAGCCACAGCTATCATTATTAGATATTCCAGCTTTTGTGAGCTTTTAGTAACTTTTAGCCTGCTAAGTGAGAATTGATGAACTAATTTCAAAACAATGACCACTGAACAGAATGTGCACACAGACAGGTGCCCAAGGCTGGAATCAAACCTGGGTCCTTGGCACTGTGAGGCAACAGTACTAACCACTGAGCCATTGCACTGTCCCCAATAACAAGCTCCGTTCATGTCTATTAGCAAACAGGGACAGCACACCTTGCCCAGGTAATGGAGGAGCACCACTGTATTTTATATTACAAGCCCAGCTGATTTGCTGAATAAGATTATCAGTAACGCCACACAGCTCTTTTCCAACAGACTGTATTCCAGAAGCTGCATTATGAAGTGGTAATGTCTCACTTATCTTTGTTCCCACTAATTGAACATAGACTACAGCACCAAGGACCCCAGAGTTACCGAAACTGATTTGCTGCAATTGATTACCTTGTCGATTTCTTTGCTCCACATCTTCTGTCATCCTCTGTACTTTCTTTGCCCGCTTCAGCTCCTTGTGTTTTTCCTTGACTGCTGCTTTAGAGTCTTTAACTAAGGCTATGTAAGCAAACTGCAAGGAAAGGGTTAAATCAAACGGCTTACTCTTGGTCTGTTCATACTCCCTGGGTGAGGTCTTAGCCCATTTAAAGACTATTCACTTGGCACAGAGTTAAAATCGGGCCCTGGTCTCTTCAGGAATTGAGAAAGAGAGAAAGCCATAAAGAAGCAGCAGCCAATTTCTCAAATCTGCTCCTTCAGCAGACACTGCGCTACCTTCACAGTCTACAGAGCCCAGGACATAGCAACATTGCAGTCCATTTGTTTCAAGTGACTCATATTGCATAGACTTGACTGTGAATTGGTCGAAGGCACAGGGCAAGACATTATTATAACCATTATAACGTTATTATAATTTGTTGACTGGCTATCTTTAGTTCATTTTGTTCGGTGGTTGATTGCAGGATTATTCAGATTGAACTGCTACATATCTTACTTAACTCCAAGTATTGCAATGACTGTTCTAAATTGAAACAGCTAATTTATATAATTTAAAATATTTAGAACTTCCCAGAGTCTTCAATACATAAGCAATCGTAATGAGATAATACGGTGTGGAGCTGGATGAACACAGCAGGCCAGGCAGCATCAGAGGAGCAGGAAAGCTGACGTTTTGGGTCGGGACCCTTCTTCATT